AGCAGCAGCAGCAGCAGCAGCAGCAGCTGTTGCTGCTGCAGCAGCAACAGCAGCAGCGGCAGAGAAACCTGCAACTGTTTCAGCAGGAAATGCAGCAGCGGGAGGTGCTAAGGCACATGCAAGCGCAGCAACAGCAGTACCAACAGCAGCAGCAGCAACAGCAACAGCAGCAGCAACAGCAGCAGCAGCAGCAGCAGCAGCACCTGCTGCTGCAGAAGCACCTATGGAATGCGGGGGTGTGGGGCCCCGCTACCCCATGGCAGCAGCAGCAGGACACTTTGCTGCTGCAGCATACAATAGACAGGGAGGAAGAGGATGTGCTGCAGCAGCAACAGCAGCAGCAGCAGTTCCAGCTGCAGCACCAGCAGAAGCTGCACCAACTGCAACAACAGCAACTGCAGCAGCAGCAGCAGCAACTGCAGCAGCAGCATTTAGTTGGTGCTGCGCTGCCCCTTGGGCGTCATCGTCTACAAGGCAGAGGGACAGCACTGAGCTGCCTATACACTGGAAGCAGCAGCTACCATCATCGCAGCAGCAGAAGCAGCAGCAGCAGCAGCAGCAGCAGCAGCATAATCAGCAGCAGCAGCAGCAACAGCAGCAGCGTATCTTTATACCAGACATTAATATCTAATACTCCCTGCAGCGCTAAATCTTCTCCTCTCTCCTCCTTGCCCCCTCTCCTTGACCCCCAGCAGCAGCAGCAGCAACAGCAGCAACAGCAGCAACATCAGCAGCAGCAGCAGCAGCAGCACCAGCTGCTGCAGCAGCAGCTAAGAAGACAGCTGTCTTGTCGCTCTGCTTCTCTCCCTGCCCTCCCTCGTGTACGTGAATGGTTTATAGGAGGCAGGAAGCCAACACTCTTCCCTGCTGCTGCTGCTGCTGCTGCTGCACCCTTCCCTCCCCTGCAGCAGCAGCACCAGCAGCAACAACAGCTACGTGCATGCAGAGGACTACCAAGGATGAGGTCTCTCCCTGTTAGCGCAAACCCCACAGATTTCTTTGCTAGCAGCAGCAGCAGCGAGACCGAGCAGCAAAAGCCAGCAGCAGCAGCAGCAGCAGCAGCAGCAGCAACTGCAGCAACTGCAGCAACAGGAGCAGCAGCAGCAGCAGCAACTGCAGCAACTGCAGCAACAGGAGCAGCAACAGCAGCAGGACGGAGGCCACCGTCCATTGTTGCGCCTTCAGGTGCTACTGTTGCTGCTTGTTGGCTGCAAAGCCCTCAATAGCTGCTGCTGCTGCTGCTGCTGCTGCAGAAGCAGGATCAGCAGCTGCTTCTGCTGTTGTTGCTGCTGCAGCAGGGTCAGCAGCTGCTTCTGCTGCTGCTGCTGCAGCACAACAGCAACTGTCTCCTCTTTTGTCTCCTTTTGTTGCATTAAATGTTGCCATTCAAAGGCATCTTCTTCTTCTGCTGCTGCTGCTGCTGCTGTATCTATCTTGCTGCTGCTGCTGCTGCTGCTGTAACTATCTTGCTGCTGTCGTCTCCTGCTGCTGCTGTCTCTATCCCTAAACCCTAAACCCTCGTCTCCACCCTAAACCCTTTTCATCCCCATCTATCTAAACCCTAAACCCTCGTGGATATAAACCCTAAACCCTAGAAACCCTAAACCCTCGTGTATATAAACCCTAAACCCTATAAACCCTCGTAAACCCTAAACCCTTAACGTATATCAACGTGAAAACCCTAAACCCTAATAAACCCTAGACCCTAATAAATAATAAATATAAATATATAAACCCTAAACCCTTGAGGTATATATATATCCAAGTTGTCTATAAGAAGGAAAAACCTGCAGAAAAGGGCGAATAATAAACCCCTAATTAACCCTAAACCCTTCGGGTGTATCTACACCTATACACTATCCATCATCATACATCTTATTATATGCATGCACATGCATGCATGCATGCATGCAGATGCAGATGCAGATGCATGCATGCATGCAGATGCATGCAGATGCGGATGCATGCATGCAGATGTATATGCATGCACGTAGATGCATGCGCATGCATGCATGCATGCATATAATGAATGATAATTGATAAGAAGGTGTATATGTATATGTATATATATAAGGGTATATATATAAATAAATAAATAAATAAATAAATAAATAAGAAGGATTTATGTTGGGGTGTATCCGCACCTCACCCCCTACCAGGTGTACGTACACCCCAATATTATCCTACAAGGGCAAGGAACAGACATTTTATTCATACATACATACATACATGCATGCATGCAGATGCAGATGCATGCAAGCAGCATGCGCATGCATGCATGCACGCATGTGCATGCATGCATGCGCATGTATATGTATATGTATATGTATGTATGTATGTATATATGTATATATATATGCATGTAAATACATGCATGCAAGTTGGGGTGTACGTACAGCCGGTGAGTTGGCGATGGACCTATTCTTTCTTCTTTTTTTTATTTCTTTTTTTTTTTTCCTTTTTATTTCTTTTTTTTTTTCTTTATTTATCCCTCATTATT